TTTTTTTTTTTTTTTTTTTATAAATAAATAGTAAATTTGAATATAATATGTCAAAATTGATCTAAATATGAGGATATATCTATAATTGATATATTGATAGAAATAAAAGCGATGTTTAATTTTCATTCCCTTTGTAGTAGACGATCTCCTGTCCGACCTAAACTACAATATGTCAGAAGCCGACTAAATCTCAGTATAATTAGTATCTCAATATTTGACCCAACAGTCGCACCCAGCTACGATATTCAAATGGCTATAATAATGAGTTAACATTAAAAAATATAAAGGAACGCTAGATCGGCAAAGATGTACGCATTCTGCTTATATTCAACGGAAATGTAGATTTCTTGACATCACTTTTTTAATAGGATATCTCTCATATAGTGACCATGATTCTATACGGCGTATTGTGCCCATCTCTGTAAAAAGGTATATGGTTGCCAGACTGGTTCATCGAATATGGACAGCGTTGTAGTAGTTAAATTATTTTCTTTACCTGTAACCTCATCAATTTAATCTGTCTATTAGTAAAATCGCCTACCAAGTGCCCAAGCGCCCTTATCGCGTAACTGGCTGTGGTTATACGACGGGTCTATCTGTCCTGCTTGATCCGATGGTAGCCGATTATTACGGCACCTTCTTTAGTGGATTTGGATTTCGTCTGCTCATTCATGATGCCTATAATTTTCCGGACGAGAATTCCGAAACCAAGGTAGTTACATCGACTCGCGAGAGCTTCGTGCGCATCAACCCAGCGTCAACGTATGCCACGAAGGACATTCGTCAGATGGACCTGCGCTGGAGGAACTGCCTCTTTGGCAGCGAGCGCAAGTTGGATGGCCTTAAACGCTATTCTTTCATCAACTGCATGTTCGAATGCAGGATGAAGATGACTCTTCAGCGCTGCGGCTGCCTGCCCGCCTATCTGATCAACAATGGCACCATCAAGATCTGCGGCGTGCTTGACATGAATTGCATGCTCGAAACCAAGCGTGAGTAGAAAAAGATTGAGCCGAATCGAAGGCTGTCGTGCTGAATGCGTTTCTTAATTTTGAAATTAGGCTTCTTCTCACGCGCCCTGGCCAACCTAGACGCTCCGTACTCCATAGTACGCAATACGAAAAATTTTCCCTGCGATTGTTTGCCGGACTGCGAGTCGAATCAATATGGCTCCGAGAGCACTATGGGCCGGCTGGACGCCAGCTACTCCCGCAACAAAATGGCCAACAGGCAAGACTTTCCTTAAAATATTAAACGTGTGGTAAAGCTGATCTACTGCATTCGAATTACAGCTCGAATCACACAGATAGCATATTGGTGCACGTCTTTTATAGCGACCTGATGTCCACCAGATATCGTATGGAGATCTTTCAGAACTGGCTTTCATCATTGGGTAAGCTCTTGTCCATTGATACCTCCCATAGCTGTTTAATATACTTTCTTATTTCAGCGTCATTTGGCGGTCTCCTTGGCCTAATTCTAGGCTTCAGCATTGTCACGGCTTTTGAGTTTGTTTACTTTCTCACGTTTCGACCCATATTTAACTACATCAATCGAGAAAGATATTAGGTCTAGTATGATAATCAAAGTAATCATAAAAAAAACTTAAAATTCAGCAATCTTCATTAATAGCTAAAAACTTTTGCATGTATGAACCCTCTACAGAATATAATAATTTTATTGGAAATGAAGAAATCTCATTTATGCAAAGTAGTTGAACAATCTAGTAAAATCCCTCGCTATATATCAATGAGGATCCATAGCATACCGCTATGTTTTCATTCTTTAGTCAAAGTATCCCAGCTTCTTGACCTCACCAACCATGGCGGTAATTGAGTCCAGCACTTCCTCGCTAGCAGGAATAATCTGTTCAGCGGGCAATTTGAAACCGGTTAGGATCGAGTTGGATGAAGGACGCAGCTCATAGCAGAATGTCATGCGCACATCCTGAGTTCCATAGGCCCAGTCGATGCTAGCTCCAGCTGCCGGATAGATGGCATCATATATATTGCCGCCAGTGTACTTCGTATTGTAGCGCTGGGAGACAGCAGCGATGGAAGCATTAAACACCTGCTGGAAGTCCTTTACATTATCAGGCAGGTCGCTTGTGTGTCCATAAGGGTAAAGCAGGTACTGCGAGTAGGAATGGAACGAAACATAAAGCTGGATCTTGTCCTTTATCGAGGCAATGTAGTTCGACAGCGATAGGGTTTCAATCTCAGAGAATGCGCTAGGTCCAGCGTAGGTATCGGAGCATGGATCGGAGCTTGCACCAACTTCATTCCAGTGGAAGTCCCAGTTGCGGTTGGGATCAGCGCCGAAGCAGCTGCCGTAGGGAGTGCGGGTCTTGCGCCACATACGATTTGTGGTGTGGGTGTACACGTAACCATCGGGATTGGCATGGGGGAAGACGTACCAATTGTAATTGTCGGCCAAGTCCTTGACGGAATCCAAGTTCGAGGTTAAAAGCTGATTGATGATGAATGTGGCAGCAGCAGGAGCGATCCATTCGCGAGCATGAATGCCAGCCTCCAACAATACGCCAGGCTTCTCGCTGAGGCTCTTGGATATTTTGACACCAAGAATTGAACGTCCCTGATAGGTTTTTCCACCCTCAATCAATGTGACAACGTGTGGGTACATCTTTGCCAGGCTAACCATCCAGCTGTATGTATCATCCAGTTCATAGTACTGCGCCCAATTATAGTCGGAGCTGGCGCGACCCTTGGGTGCCACCTTCTCGTCAATCTCATCCAACGACTTTTGGAAATCCTTGGACTGCAGTTCATATTTAATCTCAGCTTTGCCCAGAATCTCCAATACGTCAGGCACTTTGTGTGGAGCAACAACCATCTGGACATCGGCTCCAACGAGGTGAACACCGTCCAAGAACAAAATGGAATCCGATGATCCTTCAAGCTGCTTCAGCACAGCCAGCTGCACGGCGTTCTCGGCATTGGCTTTGTATAGACGGTAGTTGTCAAAGCGGACCCGTTCCGCCCCATTCAATCCAACAGTGGCCAAGAGGCCAAACAGGGCGAAAAGAAGCGACTTGTTCAGCGACATGGTTGTCGTGGTTATTAGCCATTTAAGGTCGCGTGGTTGGTTTTTATTGTCGCTAGAGCTTATAGCGCAACAGGTTGATAAGCGCTGATAAGTCAATTAACTAAACCATATTTATAGCCTTTGCGATTAAGACGTCAATTCTTAGGCGCATAAATAAGAGCGTAATCTGTGTCCAACCCCTTATCAATACTTTTATTACTGCAGTGTAAATCACTGCACTTTTTGAAACCCCTTTTTGTGGATTTCTTTCATGTCAGGAGCCTTTTCTTTGAACTAATTATCAAGTATGTTGGTTTAGTTCGGCACCATTCAGTGACTTGCAGTCTATACATTGATGTGCTGATACAGAAGGCGAACGTAGCGTATTCAGGTACTCGCGAACGTATTCATTAATGTACGTTTGAAAACTAATAAGATTTCTGTTGACACCTTATCTTTTACACATAAAACTAAAACTTCTAGCACTATTTAGCGCATCAAGCTCGTGTGGAGCAAGCGATTTGGCAGCACGGTATTCTATTCTATTTACGATCTAAATTTTTTTTATAAATATATTCGTAAGAAAGGAATAAGTTTGTCTACTATCTAAAATGAGAAATACATGGCCATTCACCATGAGCTGTTGTTGTCATTCATTAACAGTTTTAAAAGAATTTGTTGACTAACAGATCCTAAATCAATCTTATCAACCAAGGCGGCTCATGAGTATTTCCCATGAGTATTATGGATGCTATTGAATTTTGTTCGCATGCGATAAATGAGGACCTATAGCTCTTTTTTACCAATTGAAACAATCTATTGATAACGTTCTATGACCAGAAATTCTGGTTGGGACCCTTTACACAGATATCGATGAGCACACTGAAATTTTCTTAGTCCAATAAATTCTCCTGCCAATCGAATGTGACCATAAATAATCTAGTAACAAATAGGCTTTTAAAATTTGAGTCCTTTATTGTAGAAATTATTACTTGAAATAGCCCAATTTCTCCACCTGACTAACCATGGCGGTAATAGAGTCCAAGAGCTCCTCGCTGGCGGGAATAATCTGGGAAGCAGGCAACTTAAATCCAGTGGCATAAGAGTTGGAAGAGGGACGCAGCTCATAGCAGAAAGCCATGCGCACACCCTGGGTGCCATAAGCCCAATCAACACTGGCGCCAGCTGCCGGATAGATGGCATCATAGATGTTGCCACCAGTGTACTTTGTATTATAGCGCTGGGAGACAGCAGATATGGCTGCGTTGAACACCTGTTGGAAGTCCTTAACGTTATCGGGCAACGATTTTGTATGGCCATAAGGATACAGCAGATACTGCGAGTAGGCATGGAGCGAGACATAGAGCTGAATCTTATCTTTGATCGAGGCAATATAGTTCGACAAGGACAAAGTCTCGATCTCAGAGAACGCTTTGGGTCCAGCATATGTATCGGAACAGGCGCTGTCGCTGGCGCCCACTTCATTCCAGTGGAAGCCCCAGTTGCGGTTAGGATCAGCGCCGAAGCAGCTGCCATAAGGTGTACGGGTCTTGCGCCATAGGCGATCCTTGGTGTGTGTATAGACATAGCCATCAGGATTGGCATGGGGGAAGACGTACCAATTGTAGTTGTCGGCCAACTGCTTAATAGAATCCACATTTGACGTGAGCAGCTGGTTGACGATAAAGGTAGCAGCCGCTGGGGCGATCCACTCTCGAGCATGAATACCAGCCTCGATGAAGATGCCGGGCTTCTCGCTGCCGCTCTTGGATATCTTCAGGCCCAGAATTGAACGACCCTGATAGGTTTTACCACCCTCGATCAGTGTGACAATCTTTGGGTTTTGCTTGGCCAAGGACTGCATCCAGGCATACGTATCGTCCAGTTCGTAGTACTGGCCCCAATTGTATTCCGAGCCTGCGCGACCCTTGGGTGCCACCTTCTCGTCAATCTCATCCAACGACTTTTGGAAATCCTTAGACTGCAGTTCATATTTAATCTCAGCTTTGCCCAGAATCTCCAATACATCAGGCACTTTGTGTGGAGCAACAACCATCTGGACATCGGCCCCAACGAGGTGAACACCATCCAGGAATATGATGGAGTCCGAGGATCCCTCCAGTTCCTTCAGCACAGCCAGTTGCTCTTCATTCTCAGAAGTGGCTTTATACAGACGATAATTGTCATAGTGAACGCGTTCCGCCTGACTCAATCCAAAGGTGGCCAAAAGCCCCAACGCGGCAAAAAGAAGCGACTTGTTCAGCGACATTGTTNGTATCTGTATCTGTATCTGTATCTGTATCTGTATCTGTATCTGTATCTGTATCTGTATCTGTATCTGCATCTGTATCTGTATCTGTATCTGTATCTGTATCTGTATCTGTATCTGTATCTGTATCTGTATCTGTATCTGTATCTGTATCTGTGTCTGTATCTGTATCTGTATCTGTATCTGTACCTGTATCTGTATCTGTATCTGTATCTGTATCTGTATCTGTATCCGTATCTGTATCTGTATCTGTATCTGTATCTGTATCTGTATCTGTATTTGTATCTGTATCTGTATCTGTATCTGTATCTGTATCTGTATCTGTATCTGTATCTGTATCTGTATCTGTATCTGTATCTGTATCTGTATCTGTATCTGTATCTGTATCTGTATCTGCATCTGTATCTGTATCTTCACAGACATAATCCTTTTTTTCTACCAGGAATCCACTTGATATTCGCACTGACTACGCATTTTAATATCCCACTAGACGGAATACTCAGCAATAGTTGGCAATGACAATCGCCACTCACCATTAGCTTGGGACAACTTGGTGGACCGCCTGGTGCTGCTAATCAGTACAGTACCATTCGGTATCGATGAACTGGATTAACTACGCTAACTGCTTATTAGCTATTACAATGGCCACATGTACTTGGTGTATGATAAACGGCGTATACGTGTTGATGACTGAACATATCACACATTCTTTCGCTCGCTTCAATAAGATTATTTTTGAGTCGACTCCAAATTTGCTAAGGAAATCATTGTCTAACTAACGTATATCAATTACTAAGAGTACTAGAAATCTACCGGATAATTTTCTTCATATTCAGTAGTACATTCGTTGTATAGCTATACGTCCTTTACTATTAATGACTGTGCACGTTCTTTCTCGCCCTCTTTGACTCGTCCATTTAAGACATCCATCACTCAGTCACTTTTGACAGCAGCTGTCTAGGCCCTGACACTTTCCAATTGTGTGCTGATTGATGAGCTACACGGACAAGAGACAGCACTATAAATTGACTTGATAGTTTCTTCCACTTAGTAATAAACTTCAATCATGTACCAATTGTCTGAAGTGGAGTCCAACTATCGCAGACTGTTTAAAGACTTTCTACGCAATAGTTATATAAATGGATTAAAGCTACTGCTTCTACACAGCCCGGTGCACTACGCCAAGTGAAGATCTTTAACTTTCAGCAATTTAACTGATTCCAATTAACACTATTTACTATTGACAATATTGACAGAGCACTTTGGTTGGCATTTCTGGCTGTGATTGTTGTCTGGACACACATCGTTATCGTCAATCTGACACTCGAGTACATCGATCAGCCCACTGAGATTCACATGGCACCCAATCTGGTGCATGTATCCAACAGTCCCTTTCCCGCTGTGGGTGTTTGCAGGTCCAGCATGATTAGCAAGAGTCTAATGCATAACTATGCCGCTAAAATGTGAGTTATTTATTGTGCAAATCTTCAATTGAAATAGCCCAACTTCTGCACCTCACCAATCATGGCCGTCATTGAGTCCAAGAGCTCCTCGCTGGCGGGAATGATCTGGTAGGCGGGCAACTTGAAGTTGATAAAATAGAAATTATTGGAGGGACGCAACTCATAGCAGAATGCCATGCGCACATGCTGGGTGGCATAGACCCAATCCACACTCGATCCAGCTGCCGGGTAGATGGCATCATAGATGTTGCCACCAGTGTATTTAGTATTATAACGCTTGGAAATGGCAGATACGGCCGCCTTGAACACCTGTTGGTAGTCCTTAACGTTATCGGGCAACGACTTGGTGTGACCATAAGGATAGAGCAGATACTGCGAGAAGGCGTGGAACGAGACATAGAGCTGAATCTTATCTTTGATCGAGGCAATATAGTTCGACAAGGACAAAGTCTCGATCTCAGAGAACGCTCTGGGTCCAGCGTAGGCATCAGAACAGGCGCTGCTGCTGGCGCCCACTTCATTCCGAGCCTGCGCGACCCTTGGGTGCCACCTTCTCGTCAATCTCATCCAACGACTTTTGGAAATCCTTAGACTGCAGTTCATATTTAATCTCAGCTTTGCCCAGAATCTCCAATACATCAGGCACTTTGTGTGGAGCAACAACCATCTGGACATCGGCCCCAACGAGGTGAACACCATCCAGGAATATGATGGAGTCCGAGGATCCCTCCAGTTCCTTCAGCACAGCCAGTTGCTCTTCATTCTCAGAAGTGGCTTTATACAGACGATAATTGTCATAGTGAACGCGTTCCGCCTGACTCAATCCAAAGGTGGCCAAAAGCCCCAACGCGGCAAAAAGAAGCGACTTGTTCAGCGACATTGTTCGCATTGCTATGAATCACCCAAGATATGTGTTAAACTTTTATAGACTTCTGTTTCTTCTAGTGGAGCTTGAATGGAATTGGTTGGAGAGAAAGTGGGTAAACGCCTTGATTAATGCACATATTGATTGTAAGCTACTGCAAAGTGACAAAGACATGCAATGAGTGCAATTCGTCAATTTCAAATTCTTTGCGTTGCCAAAGCCATAAAGAACTTCAGCCTAAAGAGTAGAATTTTGTAGTGAATGAAAGTCAATGAGTATTCTCATTCAAGGACTTTAAAATACAATTTATCGTATATATGTATGATAGATATAGATCTATGCCATTCTAGAAGATATATATATTTTTGAAGATACAGTTTAAGCCGACATAGCTCAAGCTTATTAAAAGTGTATTGAGACTACGTCTCCCCCGAAATAGGTAACCTGCATATTGTCACTCAGTTCGCATACTAATGTCCCACTCGATTCCCAGCTATCAGCACCAGACTCAAAACGGGGCAGCAGTTGGCAATGGCAGTCGCTACTCCCCGTTAGGCTTGGAGGTCTTGGCGGACCGCCTGCTGCTGCTGAGCAACTTCTATTTGAATGCGGACGAGGAGGCCCCATTGGATGTCGCGGAACTGGGTCAGCTCCACTGGCTACTCACTAGCTACTACAATGGCAGTGAGTATTCGGTGCACGACATACTGCGCGAGTTGACGCCCGATTGCGGTGACCTAGTGCTGCGAGGGATCGTCTATGGCACGCCTGTTAACACGAGCCAATTGTTCATCAAGCGGGCAACGTCGTCTGGTGTGTGTTGCATATTCAACTATAGGCGACCCAGCTATTCGCAATATCCGTGAGAAATTTATATAGACTCTAGCTACATTAAAGAATATATATATATTCATTTCTTCCCACTTACAGCGGACAGCGTGAGCGAGATGATGCTGAAATGGCGGCACTGCCACAGGTGGTTTTTGAATCGAACTCCGTTTTGAACGGCATACAATTCGTGCTGCAGGACACACACCAGGACGACTACACATTGAGCTATTTCACGAATACGGCCTTCCGGGTAAATTACAACTTGTTCACTTAAAGAACTGGTAGGAACTAAATTAGCATCAGTCACTGTCTAGGCGCTACCAGCCATAAAGATATATGAATTTCCCAATTCGGAATATTCCTATACGTGTTACGTGTGTTACGTAATTGCCCAATTTTGATGGCTCGGCACCAAATCAGTGAAACCCACAGGTTATTTTTGTTATGCCACGCCAAATGGGTGAATATCTTTCTGGGCATAATTAGAGAAGGTTAATAACACATTCTCTCTTCCCTTAAAAATGGGAATCGATTTCAAGCTTCAAATCTTTAGCTGCTATTACGACGCACTAATTACGCTAATAAGGCTATACGGATAGTCGAACGGACGGAAAACAAAGTAGACATTCCATAAAGGCATTTAGTTTTTTATTTGCTAGTGTTGCCTTCAATGGGAAGGACTTCCAAATTAATATCTTATAGATTGGATTTGGTTATTGACTGTAAATTCTACAAATTCCCAATGCTCAGAAACTATTCTTCTAAATGGTTGTACCCCATATTTAATTTTTTGTCAATTGAAGTGTCACTTCTCCTCATTATGATTAATATAGAATATCGAAGACCGAGGACTAGACTTTCTTCTATACATATAAATCTGTGCATACAATATGTCTCAAGACACTGAGACACTGATCTAAGCGGCACTGAGATCAAACTTCTCGAAGAATAGGGTTTCGCAATACAAGTTAAGAGCACTTGGTTAGGCTTGGTTAACAGAAATGCTTTTGTCGACAAAATCCGGTGACATTTCCTTCTGGTTTATTTGCAACTTAATTTATCTTGCCTCACAGCTCATGATCTTTCCGCAAGAGGATTACGCCTCGGTGCAGTCCAATAAGCATGGCGAAATACTCGTGGATCACAACACCATTGTGGAGATTCCCGTGCAGCCGAAGTTCTTCGACTCCAGCGCTGCGGTGCGCGGCGTCACGCCCAAGGTACGGCGCTGTTACTTCCCCGAGGAGGGCCAAAAGTTGCTGAATCAGTGAGTGAAGGTGACTAATGGATGCAATGAATCAGCAAGTGCAGCTGCTGCTTTACAGATCGTACTACTCACTGGATGAGTGCATTCTACTCTGTCGCATCAACAGCATGCTGCAGCATTGCGGCTGTGCGTCATCCCCCATGGCCGGCACCGCTCTGAATGTCAGCTACTGCTCGCTGCTCGACTTGCCGTGCCTGATGAAGTGGCGCAGCGTTTGGTATGGCTTCACTGAGTACCCGTATGTGGAGCAGGACGAGGAAGCGGCGGATGACGCCAGCAGCATGGCCCAATGTCCACTTTGTCTGCCCAGCTGCGATGGCGTTAACTTCGAGATTAGCAGCAACGTGGCTCCGCTCAGGAGATCCTTCAACTCATCCGGCTACGGACATGGCCTACTGTATGAAGGATTGTGTTTAGACCGCTTCCCCAGCTCATTAAGCCTATCTCTACTTGCAGCAAGGACTTGAACAACGACCGCCCCTTGTCCATAATCAAATTGTTCTTCAAGCTGCGCTTTGCGAAGTCCACACAAATGAATATGGTTGGCGATTGGATTGTGCTGCTCAGTTAAGTCGAAATCCATACGTATATTCTTTCTATACTCATCCATTCTCAATTGAAATGAGCATATTGATTGACAGCCTGCGCTTCTTTTTTGCTTACACAAAAAGCAGCACATGCACATACATACATACGTATGTATGTACACACTTACATACACGCACATACCCGTACCCACTAATAAGTCGTCAGTGTTGCCAGCTTAGTCTATTTCTGACTAGATCTAGCCTTGATCTAGTTGATAAATTGAGGCAGATTTTGCAAAAAAAACTAGGTCTTAAGAGAACTATATCCGTGTGCTTAACCAATGCAAGGGACGAAGAACTACAGATCATTTAAATTGTGTGATACATTGGTATTTATATTTAAGTAAAACGAAGTTAGAATCCTTTAAACAGCAGAGAGTGTTCCTATTAATCACTGAAAGCTCGACTGCAATGACCCCTACCTGGAACCGAGCTCAGCGTTTAGGCGCGTCTCAAGCTTCGAGTGAAAGGCGCCCTATATAAAGGGCAGCAGCTGCAGCGTTTCTTCAGTTGCCCAGGCCTGATAGGATTCAGTGGTGCAGTCCAGCCAAGTGAAGTGTAGAAAAAATATTCAAGGGAAATAGAAGCATTTACTTAGAGGAAATATTTAGAAGAAATACTTAGAGGGAAGAAATAGGAAACAGAAAAAATACTTAGAGGATATACTCAGAGGGAATACTTAAGAGACATATTCATAGGAAATATCGTTTTGATCTGTAATCTGTATAGTCCGATGGTGATTTTCTTGTTTGATTTACGCCTGGAAAACTTTTTCTTTAATTAATTCCATTTACTATATACAGATATTCATAAACAAAAAAATTCCATACACGAAAACTGCTTGCCTTTCACCTTTAACAGCAAAACTCTTGGATCTCAATAAGATTAGCTATAAACATATTTGAGTTTGGTAAAAAAGTACTATTTGTAATATTATAAACTAAAGATCAATGCGTTTATATGTTTGGTAGCTTGCAAGTGATTCAGGTTGACATATCGATATTCCTTGATAACTTGATAATCTTTTATTTCCATTCTAACTCATTCCAAGTATTCCAAGTTCCTTCAAGTGAGCGATTTTTAATTTGAATGTCTTTGCAGATCGTTTTGGTGGCATTTTATCATTGATGTACGGCTTCAGCATAATTAGCTACATAGAAATATTTTACTACCTCACTGGCAAATGGTTTGTCTTTTACTACAGAGCATGGCTCAAACCAAGAAACGACAGCAATAAAATTGATTCAGTCACCAGCTCGCTGCACTGGAATGAATAATAATAATAATACTAATGAATAATAAAAGCAGGTGTTGAAATTTGAAATACAGATTGGCTTATGTGATTCGCTTAGAGCTCAAAACACACAAGTATATTGTAATAGCTGTACGCTTCTCCCGCTCACGCACTCACAAGCAATCGAACTTATTGAAAATATAATCTGTAGTTAATATATGTGTACAATATATAATGCATGCTACAAAACGTGGACTGCCCATGCAAGCGCTTCTGCTTCAGATCGTACTCAAATATCAAGTTTAATAATCGTCACCGCGAGAGACAACCTCTTTGCAGGTGGGCCGCAAAATAATGGTGTGTTCGTACTGCGCCGTGTAGCAGCCCTTGATGTCGCACAGCGGCGGATAGGCCTCCACGATGCCCTTGTCACACAGATCCTTGAGGGCCATTTGGTATTTCGTGGCGCCCGCGCGATCCAGCCAGCGTTTGCAGAAGGCCAACGTCCCGAAATGCTTGTTGATGGTGCCCAACAATTGTTTGGAAGACTGCAAACGCAGCGGCACAAATGGCAAATCAAAGTTCTTCATATAATGCGAGCAGTCCATGTCATCGTGGACCAATCCGCGACCCGTGGAGCCGAACGTTTCAATGGCATAGAACTCATCCTCTTCCATGCGCGTAGACTCGCCGCCCTTGACAATGGGCACGGTCTTGCCAGCATGAATACCTACGAACAAAGTGGAGGAAGTTAGCAATTGAAATACTGCAGAAAAAACATATATTTATATTGCTTACGGTACGGGCTAATGGAGTGTCCGTTTAAGTTACGAATGGCCTTAATCGGATAGGTCTTGCCATCCAGCTCGATTTCGTATGATTCCATCACCTCCTGTATGGCCGAGCCGATGTCGCATAGACGCACATCAATGCCCGCCTCCTTGATGCCCGTATTGGTTGCTTCCTTCACCGCCTGCAGCAGCTTATCGTACTTATTGTTAAAAGTCAACGTGAAGGCGCAATCAATGATGCGGCCCTTGATGTGGGTGCCAAAATCGATTTTGCACACATCATCGTATTGAAGCACGGTAGTGTCGCCCGCATTGGGCGTGTAATGGGCAGCGCAATGATTAAGCGAGCAGCCAGTGGGGAAGGCCAAGCCGGCCTCTAAGCCATTTTCCCCAATCAATCGGCGTGCGGTATTCTCCAGTTCTTCGCATATTTGGATCATGGTCATGCCTGGCTTAATGTATTTTTGCATATATTGACGTGTCTGACGATGCGCTTCCGCAGCTTGGCGCAGCTCATTGTAAATGTCGTTGTTCATACGATCTAACGCACGCTTCTCCTCCGACGTAAACCGATCCTTGGCGGTGCGATCGTCTGCCATATCCTTGGGTATCGGATGATCCATTATCTGGCCCTCCGGATAATTGCCATTGGGGTAGAGGTCCGATATAGGTATAGTAGGTGGATTTGTTTGTCCAGACTTTTTGCCCTTGTTCTTCTTCTTGGTTGCCGGCGCCTGAGTTGGCGGCTTTTTTTCAGCTTCGCCATTGGTCGCAGCTTCCGATTCGCCACCCTCTGCGATCTTCTTTGCTGCAGCTTCTACAATTATTTTACAGTAGCGTATACAACATACATACATACATACATGTATATTTACATATTGTATAAATTTATACATATATATTTATATATGTACATACATATAACTGCATGATTAAAGGGGGACACTTACCTTGTCGCAGTTTTTTATTGTTCGGCTTTGGCTTCTTTTGTTTCTTGGCGTCGTCGCCGCCAGCCACTTCTGTTGCGGCCGTCTCAACATTTAATGCTTCCACTGCTGACATGTTAAAAATATTGGCAAAAAAAGTTAGAATACACTTGCGGCCACAGAGCAATGATGGCGATGAAAGGAGAGCACGAGGTTAGAGATGTGTTGCTACCTTGAAAGCACGATATATTTCATTCAAACGATAACTTCAATCGCATGCTTGACCTAACTTCAAATTTGGATGCCGATACTACACATCTACACATTTAATATAATTTAATTTTTGGCAATTTCTATTAGTTCTAGATTGTTTATGCTTACTGGTTACTGTATCGATTCTGTAAAAAAACATTCAAACACATTTGAAATCATTGCAGTTTGTAATCATAATAGATATGGTAGAGGAGCACGAGTCAAGTAAAGCAATAGATTGTAGATTGAGGTAATTTAACCGAGCATTTATAATTCATTTCTTAAAGCTAATAATAGTTGCTAAGCTTTTCATTTTTTTTTTTTTTTTTTTATCTTATTTATTTATTTGTATATTTTATTAAAATTATCATTCACAATGGTTCACACATTATTGATAACCAATTTGGGTGCTACCACCACTAGCCATACAACCATGATTAGTGGTGTTACTTCCTGCGATAAACTGTGGCGGCTGCTCGATTGTAATTAGATGTTTACTGTTTCAACGAAATGGATGAAATTCTGTTTCCCACACAAAATTCTTTAAGCGACAATGATGATGGTGATTTAAAATTCTTTAATACCGCTACCGATAGCCGCAAAGACAGCGAAACCTCCGACACAGCAGAGGTTGATGGCAAGGATATCAAAAATGATGGCGATGCAGATGGTGACTCCGGCGAGCCATCTCAAAAGAAGCTGAAAACCAAAAAGGAGCTCGAAGAAGAGGAACGCGAGCGCATGCAGTAAGCCCTTATTCCCAATCTTAACATACCTAGCTAAGCAGTATCTCACAGGGTGCTAGTGTCGAATTTTACGGAAGAGCAACTTGATCGCTATGAGATGTATCGCCGCTCTGCATTTCCGAAGGCTGCGGTCAAAAGGCTAATGCAGACCATAACCGGATGCTCGGTGTCTCAAAATGTGGTTATAGCCATGTCGGGCATAGCCAAAGTGTTCGTTGGCGAAGTGGTGGAAGAAGGTAGGTAATCAAATTATGAAACTTGCTTTATATTAATGTTCTTTGCATTTCAGCTTTAGATGTAATGGAGCAACAAGGCGAATCAGGTGCACTGCAGCCAAAATTCATTCGGGAAGCTGTGCGAAGGCTACGCAGAAAGGGACGCATGCCTATTGGACGCTTTCAGCAGCCGTATTTTAGACTAAACTAGACTTTAGAAGTAGGCTAAGGCCCGTAGATAGTAAGTGAGTGAAAACACTCTTACTCCATATACAAAAAGCGTCTTTATTTTTTAAAACCTAAGCTAATCCTGTGTCCTTGCCTCAGCCTGCATCGTCTGCAGCACAATGTGCGGCACCAGATGTGATGAAGCATAATTGAGTGGAACCGTTGCCAGCGGCGCGCTGCCATCGGATGGAAAGTTCAGCTCCTGCGCCATCGGCATGTCCCGATCGATCACATCCTGGGCAATTAGAGTTTTTGTTTCCTCGTATTCCATGCCCGCCTCTGGCTTGGCTCCCATTAGCAGTTTGCCCCGCTGCACGCCCATATATTGCGTGGCTTTCGCATTCAGGGGCAGCTGCCCACAGGTATCGGCGTGCACCTTTCGATGCGCCTGAAGATTGGAGATGCATGTGAAGCGTTTGCCGCAGTTGTTGCAAAGGAAGCGCTTGATGCCCGTGTGCACAGTCATGTGGGTTAAAAGGCTTTCCCGATATGGATACTCCTTGGGACAGAGCTGCAATGGAAGAACTCTCAAGAGTCAAAATTTAACGGACTAGAACCTTAAATGTAGATTAGCTGTGGATTAACTCCGCTCTGGTTATTCCTTATTCTAAAAACTATACATAGGTATTTTTGTGTATGATATAACATATCAGCAGATTAATAAAATATAAAACATGCAATAAAAATTGCAAAGCGCAAAATGAACAGTTCATTATGTTTTAAAGTAACGGTAATTCTCTTTGCGTAGTCTGAGTTCGTTTGAAGAGCAGGAATTCTTGGCAAAAAACAGCTTGAACAGATTGTAACAGATGTGCTACAATTTTTAATAAATACTAGACATCTAATTATTAAAGTAGTACACCGTTACGCATTAACTAAAAACCATTTGAAATAATAAACAATAAGCTTGAAGCATAAGCCATCGTCTTGAAAAGCAAGCGTTTCTTTAACGCAGCGCAAATAACAGAGAGCCATTAACGGCCGAGCCTTAACATTAACAGCAATTGCATACTCACATGGCACTTGTAGGGCTTGTTGTCTGTGTGACGGGTCTTCAAATGCGATTTGTACTGCGCCTTCACCTTGAACGTCTTTCCGCACTTGTCGCACTGGTACGGCGTCTCCGACTGGTGCAGGAGCATGTGTGTTTTCAGTATTCCCGCTGTGGAGAGCCGCTTGCAGCAAACGCTGCACTCGTATAGGGGCACTCGCCCACATTCGGAGCGCACATGATCCGAGAGCGAGGTGCGCCCCGTGAATTTCTTGCCACACTTATCGCAAATCAGATTCCGCGGCAGATTGCGCGGCTCCTTGCGGGCATGGTAGTTCTTCTCGTGGTTCTTCAGGCTGTCATGCCCGGTCATGTACTTGTCACACTTCTCGCAGTAGAGCAGCTCCTTGTGCTGCTGGTGGGCGTGCTGTGTGGCCAGCTCCTTGCTGGCGAAGAACAGGTTGCAATAGCAGGGGCACTTGTGGATCAGGCTGCCGTCCTTGCCGTGCACCTTCATGTGCGTCTCCAGGCGTTTCTCTACCAAGTAGATCTTGCTGCAGATCTTGCATTTGAACACTTCCTCATCCAGCTTGGCATGTGCATCCGCATCCTTGAAGAGCTCCTTGACAGCCTGTTCGCTTAGCTTGTGGTCGTCGCGCAGATGCTTCTCGTATGGCTTGCGGATGTGATAGATTTTCACACAGTGTGGACACTGCCACGTCTTCTCCATTTTACTCAGCATTTTCAGGCGCTCCTTCAGCTCCTTTTTGGTTATTTTGGCCACACGGCGAGGAGCGGTCGTTGTTTCTTCCTGGACCTCCGTAGAGGCGGCAGCAGCTCCTCTCTTTCGATATTTGCGCTTTACACTGGATTTGCTGAGTGGTCGCAGTTGGGCCTCCTCCTCACTGTCTGGCTCCGTTTCGCGCAGTGCCAGCACATCCTCCTCCATGTGGTCCTCCCCGTTCTGCTTGGCCATGGGCACAGCGGCAATCTCGTCCAATATGCCCGTTGCGTGCTCCACTTTCAAATGCTCGTACGGCTTCATACTCTCGTCCTGTCTGAGCAGCACGTCCAGGAGTTTATCCTTCTCATTGCTGTAGATGTCCAATCCGTTACTGCCCTCCATTTTAACGAAGGCGCTGGCATCCTGATACTCAAAGTCGGGATCGATGGCTTCCTCTTTGACGAGCGCTGGAGGAGGTAGCTTAAACTGATTCGCATCCGCCTCCTCGTCGCTGTTGTTGGGCTCGAAGTCGGGATACTCCTCATCCGTGTCGCTTAGCTCCTGGCTGCTAACGAACTCTTGTTTCAGTTTCATAGGCGCCTGAACTTTTAGCCTGCTGGCCAGCGGAACATCGTCGTCGCTGTCCTCTGAGGCTGGCACTGGACATTTCTTAGGTCTTCCACGCTTTCGTTTGACTACGTTCGCAGTTGCATCCGCAGGAGTGGGAACTGTAAAGGAAGTGGGATTAGAATTGAGCTGAGGGGCAGAGGCGACTGATTCACCCACAACCTTGTCTACAGTTCCGCTGCTGCTTGGCCTGGTTGGTGGAGCTCCCTTTGAATTTTTCTTCGTGCTCGGCTTGATGCTTCACACTACTCTCGCGATCCGCAAAGCTCTTGCCGCACAGCTGGAATTGCAAAAAACACTTGAGATTTCAACTGGAAAGGATTTATAGTGGAATGCTTACCTCGCACTTGAAGAGCTCCTGATCCTGGGTCACGTTAAATTTACGCTCCTGATGCGCCTCCTCGATATGTGCCTCGTGCTCCACCTCGCTGCCAAACAGGCTGTGGCACAGGCGACACTCGATGTAGGCGTTGTGTGTCATCCTCAGATGCTCCTTCATCTGCTCTTCATGGCAAAACGTAAGCTCACAGTTGCGACACCGGAAGCCACCCGGTGGCTCATGTTTTTTTACATGCTTCACGTAGCCGGCGAGCGAAATTAATGCCTTGTTGCAGACGGGACAGTGAAGCTTCGGTATGCCGTCCGTCGTTATTTCCACCAGCATTTTCTGACCAGCGTTCACTGATTGAGCTGCTGCAAGAGTGAATCAACCTGGTTAATGTTGATTTACACACAAAACACATTGGGAATACATTTGTTTTTATTTATTTATTATTCTTAGATATACAAATGCAGCCCTGGCTTTACTTGCAACGCGTAGTAGAGACGGGGGAGGAGAGAGCCCAAGCACCGCCGCTTAGACGTATGTAAATACACAAGTAATTATGCTTGTCTTCGTTAGACCTACCCATTCTGAATATCGAATTCGTTCTGAAGCGTTACATATGAATTCAACAATTATTGTTATTGAAATGCAAGTGATTGAAGTTTTTTCTCCGTGTATATTTCTGTGATTTTTATGCACACCGTTATTTGTTGTTGTGTAGCAGCACTGTGAAAAAATTTAACTACTTGCGTTATACACTCAGCGAATACATATTAGTGATGAGCGTCGTATTCACGTAACTGTTACGTGTCACGGTATCTCTGGTTCTGACCTCTGGTTCACAATCGTGAAAAATTTTATATAAGTATACAATTTCTATAGCTGAAAACGATTAATATGGAAGAAAATTATTGCGAAAAATTAACTGCCTGAGAAACGCAACATTTGCTTATGCAAATGTTATAAACTTCAGTGAGTGCTATTAAGTGATTCTGCTGTCAGATGCGTGAAGAGTTCTCTGTTAACAGCAGATTCTCTCAAGTATATTCGAACAGAACTTAAATCACTGGCATATTGTATATTTTTTATTTAGAACATACTGAATTGATCGATAGATGTAAATATAAATAAAAAAGTTAAATTATAACTGTAAAAAAAAAACTTAATTACTCGAGCCATTAATTTAATGGAACGAGTGGAACGTGACAATTCTGTTAACTGTAAAATATGCTGTTAAGTGACTATCGATTACAATTGCGATCTTGGCGGAAAGTTTGAACTGAATGGTATAGGGCAATTATATACATACATCTGTAAGTCTATTATTTCTTTTTTTTTTACTTTTTTTTTATATAATTTGTTTTTTACCTACTAGAATGCAAGACTTAATTCAAGTAAGCTTTGAGTGAAATATTTCTCTCTTCTTCTTAGCGGAATCTGTTAAAGCTAAAATTTATGTTAGCTCCTGTACAGCAACGGTAAATAATAACATATTTTTGTTTGGCGGTATTTTCAAAAAAGTTTCTCTTTGTATATTTTGTAACAGAGTTTGTATTAAAAACTATATAATGTTAGCTTGAAGCATTTCACAAACCTTTTGCAACTTAAACAATAATTATTACCATGTATATCACGCACACGCTCATTGCTAACCATATTATTTACACGTATTTATAATTAGGTTTCCGTTTATGGAATTGACTAAGCTTTTATCGTAGAATCGCTAGAAACTGATGGCCGCATCGTGCTCCATATCATATCTGTGCATTTTATCAATTATTCTGTTGTTTATCACTTCCTTGACATTGACGGACCAAAGGAAATCGTAATGATTCCAATCCTTATAGGGAATGCGATAGAGGTCCGCGCATGGTAGCAACGTTGCCAAATATTCAACATCCTCCACAGCGGACATGTAATCGTTATCGCTGTAGTACATATTTACACAACTATTGATGTTCTGCACGTTATACGAGGGGGGCTCCGCCTGCCTGTAAATTATCTCATTCTGCTCCTTGCCGTGATCGTACTGTCTGAAGTCGCCTGATGTATATAGCTGCAGGTAGTGGATAATTTGTGTAGTCGACGCGCCAGCTGGATGCGTCTCACAAACGTCTGTGAGTAGCGTCTGAAGTATGAAAGAGAATTGAATGAGAGTTAGTGCTGATAGACAGACCTCGAGAGGGTCTTACTTACATGATTTAGATGCCGGGTGCCCCAGCCGCCAATGAAGTCTAACAGACCCGAGCACAAGAACTTCAGCATGGAGCCCACCGAGCAGACATGCTCACATAGAATCTTCTGGATGCTCGTAATGGGCAGCAGCTCCATGTTGCCCAGCACCCAGCTGAGCACCGAGGGCGAGCCAAGCAGCATCCCTCCCAGCTTGGACAGTATAAACGAATGGTTCCTCATGTAGGCGATCGGCGCCAGTAAATGCACCGTCCGCACTTTCTCGTTGTACCAAGGCAGCGAGGACATCAGCACGAAGTAGGTTGTCGTGCCCTGCGAATGGGCGACGAAGTGCAGCGACTTGCTGTCGCTCACAGCTAGGGCAAAGTCCAGCATCGCCGCCAGATCGTAGACGCCGATCTCGTGCCAGCTGAACTTCCAGAAATCCGATGTATCCGGATGAATGTGCTTGTGCTGCCTTGAGTAGGTGTTGCCCCTCGCATTGCCCAGCCAAACGTCGTAGCCCGCATCGGCGAACATGTAGGCGAGGGACGTCTCCGGCCCATTGATGATCCAATCATCCGAGGCGCAGAGGATGCCGTGCTGCAGGAATACCACCGGCTTCTTCTTCTCCTGAGTCTGGTTCTGTGCCTGCAGCTTGGGGGAGGTAGGTATCCGATAGATCGTGAGTATGTAGTCGTCTGGCGTGTGGACTGTGTGCTCCTCCACAGGATAGTTGTGATTTGTTATGAGAGACGCCTGCAAAAGGAATAAACGAATTTACAAATGATTAGCAATCTAAAGAATCTTAAGGTATAGGAATTGCAAAGAACATCTTTGTTTTGAAAAGGTAAAGTTAAACATCCCCAGCTTAATCACTGAAAATTTCAACTACTCTACATTTAGTCAAGTCGTCTGCACTATAGAATAAATAAAATTCCACATCTACATCTTAACATCCCAAGCACTTGAAATTTGGATTATAGCATGTCTCAACTATCGAATATATCTTTAAATGTCCTTATCTTCATATAAATAAAGAAAATGTATATATATTTATGTCATCTAACCCTTACAAGTTGAGTATTTAAAAAAAAAAACCCTTTTTTTTAATTTAACATTTATTTTATATCAATTTGCATTAGAAATTTAGCAATTATTTTTCTAAACAATTAAACTTAAATCATATTCTAGCACTTAATTCATCAAATTGCTCTAATTCATTTTCAAAATATTTCGAATTATTTGAAGTCTTTTATGATTGTTCATTATTATTTATTTATTTTATATTTTTTCTACACTTTCATTTATATTTCCGACTTTTATTTTTATACCCTGAACCCATTTTCAATGGGAAATCAGGGTATAATGGTTTTGTTGAAATGTATGTAACAGGGAGAAGGAGGCGTGGCAGACCCCACAAAGTATATATATTCTTGATCAGGGTGACGAGCTGAGTTGATTTGGCCCTGTCCGTCTGTCTGTCCGTCTGTCCGTCTGTCCGTCTGTCCGTCTGTCCGTCTGTCCGT